TGATAATAAGAAATGTTTCTTGAGCACCAAATCAGCATATTAAAAAGCATCTTTGCCATCACAGGAGTACATTACATTTAAAATATATTAAAATAGAAAATGGTTATTTAAAATTATATTAATATTTCACAGTATTACTATTTAATCAGTATAGCCTTGGTGAGCATATGGGACTTTTTACATTTTTGAACATGGTTTACAGTAAGTGTGATGCATATACAAAAAGATAAGATGCAGGCTATATGATGGTGCGGACTGGAACTAAAAGAAACAGCCCCATCCCCATCTTTCAGGCTTACATATTCAATTTGAATTGAGTGTGAATTATTCATTAGTGTGTGTGTACCTGTAGCCAGAGCCGCCGCGGTGTGTGTGTATCCCAGCTCTTGCAGTGCAGCCTCTGTAATCTGGCTGAACAGCAGGTCTTTCTTCAACAGCACAAATTCTGCATGCTCTGACCTCTTCCTCTCTGAGGGTGGGACATCACTCTGCTCCACCATACAGAACACAGGAATCAGACTGCCTGTGGAAAGGAGAATACAATCACTCAGACATCTTATAAACAGACATGGTCTTCTATCTGTGTTTATGCCCATCAGTGGATACCTTTCCTCCTGTTTGTGTGTAATGATGTTTGTTTGGAGGTCAGGCTCACAGGAGTGACTCCAGGTACAGGCAGATCTACTGAATTCTCCATACGGGCCATTTTACAGGGAGGATAAGAGGATTCAGACATGACGGGCCCCTGGGTGCCACTAGTAGTTGCCAAATGGTCCATCATCGTTTTTAATCTCAGCTCTCACAAACTACAAAAAATGATAGCATGAGGAAAGGAGAACATATATATATAGAGAGAGAATTGTAGTAATGCTCAGTTGTTTTGTTTTTTCTTCTCTGTTATGATGGTCTTTTTTACTGGTTCTAGACTTGTCTTTTATTTTTTTTTGCTGATCAGACTGAGAGACCAAGTTGTTTCCCAGCTAAAGACCAGCTTGATCAGGCTGGGAGACCATCTCAAACCACCTACGACCAGCAAACCATCTTAGGCTGGCTTAAGATGTTATTTGTTCAGCAGTAAAGAGCTGCTACAGGTGCTGCATATATGCTCAACCTATGACAAATCATCATCTCGTCTTCTTTTTATGCCCTATTTTTTCAGTCACTTACTTTATTGTCTGCAGTGCTGTTTTCCGGTGGTTATAATCCTGCAGACGGGGATCCGAACATGCCGACACAGCTAGCGCGCGTCCCAGGATCGCTCACTAACAAAAACACTGGCTCCTGAATCAGCGCGAGGGTCCGATGACAAGCGACTCGAGAGCGGGGTTTATTTCATAAAGAAAGGTCTTTGTTCTTAGCAAACGGAAAAAACAGACACATTTAAATAAAAAAAATAAGGCTAACAGTGAGGAAAAACGAATCGTACAATGTAATGCGCGAACACAGATCCGTAATTAAATCTCTAGACGGCCCCACAAAGCATCATCAATGTGATGTCACCAAGAGCGGACCAATCAGTTTCCAGCAGAAGTGCCTCCTGTCAGAATACATGACTGTTTTAGTATGGCAAGCTATTTTAACATTTAATAATTGATTTCTCAAGCATTTTTGATGTTTCAATAGTAAAAACTCTTAATTTCAAATATCTAATTTACAACTTCAACTAGTCATACATTTTGATTGGCTTACATTGAGTGCTGTGACAACACTCATGAAATGTTTTGTCCTGGGACATATCGATACTAGAAAAATTTGGACAGCATTGATGAGTAAAGACTACATTTATCTAATAATAATGACCAGATAAGTTTATTAAAGGTTTACATAAGGACTTCCTCTTTAATGATGCTCTACTAATTTGCATTTGATTGAAATTTTAGTCATTTTAGTTTTTGGTGATGAATGTTTAGTTGTACAAATTTTTCCCTCACAAGATGAAATGGAAATGTATGTAATTTAACCAAGTGTTGTTAGTTTAAAATATGTTGCCGTAAACAGTTCAAAAGATCCATAATATCATTTTTGAAATAAATTTTGAAAGAGTTCATAAAATGTATCAAAAGTGACAGTTAAGACATCTACAATATTAAAAAAAGGTTTCTATTCTTTTCATAAAAGAATCCTAAAAAAAATGAATGTATCCACAAAAATATTTACCGGCATAACTGTCAAAATTGATAATAAGAAATGTTTCTTGAGCACAAAGTTAGCATATTAGAATGATTTTATAAGGACCACGTGACACTGAAGACTGTAATGGCTGCTGCAAATTCAGCTTTACCATCACAAGAACAAATTGCATTTTTAAAATATAATAAAATGTAGAACTTTATTTAAATTTGTAATAACATTTCACAGTATTACTTTTTTTTTTTTTTT